ACATCATTCGCAGTTTTTAATTTTCCAACTGTTTTTGTTCACTTGGGGCTTCGCATGATATTTGCTGTTCAAATTTCTGGATGTAAGTGGTGTTAAAAGTTGCATATAATAAATGATTAAACAAATACGGAGGAACATACAGAATCTTGAATTTTCTTATTTACTCTGTCTTTGATCTCGTGCCCTAAATCATTACTATCGGAGACCTCATTATACAGCATTCTGTTTATTTTTATCATCCTTTCGGGCACATCTAGGGGTAGAGCGATCAGTACCAAGCGAGGATCATTTACCAAGGACTTTTCATTATCGCAGGATTATTATTAAAACTCTCCAGTGAAATGGAGAAGTGCTGTTGCAATTAAGCATGGTCCGCCAAAATAACGTATTATTGGCTCTTTCTGGCAGCTAATGGATATTTTGCAACTGATGCTTTTACTTAGCTTGTTATTATCTGAGCAAACTTTCCCACACTTCTATCATTGTCATGCTTGGTATTATTATTGTTGTGAAAACACAACGTTCCTGGTTTTTGCTATCAGAAATAGAGTTTTATTATAATGCATGTGTATATATTGTTATATGACCGCGGCTAGATTGCAGACAGACACTTTTGTTTTGGAAGAAGTTGACAACTACGTCTGTCTTAGCCCAGACATAAGCGCGCGCCATAACCGAAGTTTGCACATCGAAGAGCCACCGGCTGGTGCAAATTTCACAGTTTCTGTGTTGTCGGGACGAAGTATCGAAACTGAAGGACCATGCCTATCTCTTCAATACCAGAAACGTGAGATGGGCTGAGTGAACTGGTGCTGTCAAAATAAGGGATAAGATCATATGCGTGGAGTGCAAGACGCGGGAAGAAGTAGGATTTTGCTGCGTCATACGCCAGTTTCCTGTTGATGAACCTCGCGTTAAAGTGAAGATTCGTAGAATAAGAAGGCTTCCCGAACTGCATTCTTCTAGTTAGTACCGATCTTCTGATTATTGCACGATTACTATCGCTTTCAAGATCTTCTGAGTGTTCGTTTAGATTTTCGTGACTGAATCACAAACCCATCAGCTCTCAGCAATAATTCAGCGATTGCTGGCAGACAGTTTTAATATTTAATTGTCACTATTAGCACTGATAATTAAATACTAAAACCACAGAGAATGGAATGGTACCTGCGCACGGTCAAGCGATCACTGGGGAGGCCACCAGGACTCAGAGAGCGTAACAACGAGTTGAGTGGGAAAGTTACTAGATGCATCGATGGCGTGACAACAAACGTCCATGACATACAGTTGCTCAAGTATCGAAGTATTAGTCACTGTGGTTGTAATTTGCGAATTATCATCATTATCATCACTGATTTCCGGTGTTAACATTATAATCACAGTTGATATTACCACAATTGCTGTTATCAAGTATTGCTTGTCGTCGTCATCAGTCATCATTATGAC